TTAGAGGAGTTTGGCGTGTTTGCGGTAATTCTCCGCTCTAACGTATTTGTTTTGCAAAATGGGATCACCGATTTCGGGACAAATAGTGGAGGCGGTTTTGAAACGGTTGGTATCACTTTTCTTTCGACATCACAAATAAAAGTGCCAGGTTCCGTATGTGAGTGGTCTCTTCGCCGTCAAAGAGCGGGATCAATTGTCGGCGTTCAGGGAACGTTTCAAAGCTACCCTCTCGGACATATAACTGACGATGGTGGATGAAGGAATCAACCCGGGTCGCTCCTCACGTGGCACAAGATATCCTTTGGGGAAAAAGTGTGTCGAAATTATTACCAGTTAAGTGTAGTATGGTGTCGAGGAAGGGGCTGTCATTCGATGGTATTATAACTTCGCCATATGCCTCTCCGCACACGATTTTCATTGTGTACTGGGCCTGCCTGGCTCCAAGCTCCCGCCTGTGGACGCTGCGTTTCGACTGGTAGGTGAAATTGCATGAGGATATCTGGTGATGCCTATCCAGCACATGTTGATTTGCGGGCTAAGCCAGATCTAACTGTAGGGAGCAAAGTCAGTTGTGCTTCGGCGCGCGGCGATAGAGCATTATGTCAGGTCAACCACTGTGCCCAAGCCTGTGACAATCATCCTGTAACTGATACATTATGTTAGCGGAGAGGGCGAACTGGACGCTACGAATGCCTTCTTCACCATAAAGCGATGCATGTCCAAGTCAGCACCGTTTCATTAGGCATTGGTTATCGTTGTGCACGACGAACTGAAGATCGAAGTGGTTATGAGGCCTTCAAGAAATGACCCTACAAGCATTATTACTCTGATAAGCGTATCGTGACCAAGCTTGATGAACCTAAACGGCACGTTTGGTGATATCGATGTATTGATTGAGGCTTAGCGACAACGAAAGATCCACAGCATTTCGTCTACATAACCCTCGCTTGGCTCGCCACTTATGACAACTCTGACAGAAGTCCACTGGGTATGTTTAAACATATTTGTCCCTTGCATGTTTACTGCCAGTTAGACTATTTGTGACCTAACATTTCCTTTTCGAGAATCCAGGATGCAAGTTGCAGGTATCGACCTCAATGAACGTGCTCCATATGACCGGCCTTTCAAGTCTTAGGAGAACTTGTCTTCTTAACTCTGTATGGATGGCATACATACAGACAGCTTGCTGGAGAAGTACCTTGTCGCACCTGATCAGACATCAATCCAGAAGGCCTCTAGAGACGTGATGGCGACCGGCATATTTCGCTATTAGGTCCAAAGAGCTCCTTAAATAGTGTATTTGCGCGAACGACCATTCCGTAAGATCCCATTTCGTAGCCGCACCTGTTAGGGGTTAGGGTTGGGGGGCTAGAGTTAGAGGGCCATAGTTAAGGGTCAGGGAGTTAGGGGTTGAGGTTAGGAGGTTGGTGTTGTGAAACCTCCTATTACTACCAGCCTCGTTTGACAGGCGGCTGGGGCTTGTCTACTGCAGGTGCGGCTACGAAATAAGATCAGACCAACTATTCCATTCAAGGTATGGCCATTCGGTCGTTGCACACAACCAAATTCAACTAACCCCCCTCTCAGATAAACCGAAGGTTTGCCCTAAACGACTGTAGTATTCCAAACGAGGAGATACTGCAACTTTCATTGTGAGCCAAGAGTGATTCGGTGCGGCTTCATGCCTTGTCAACGAATGGAGTTTCTGATAAAATCTCTGCTCAGTCGCAGTCAGTTTGGGAAACTCTCAGACGTTCGGTGTCTCATTGCACTATTTTTGGGCCTGTATCCAGACTTAAGAAGGCAATTTAAAGACACCCAGTCCCTAACATCACTCCAAGTGGCAAACTCCCTTTTATCACTGCGGGCCCTCTTTCTACATGAGTGGTACATTCGGTTGTAAATAAGTTTTTCATACTCCGCAGGCCTCCTTGGTCTGTACACACTGCGTTATAGCCCGCCATGTTTGGTACCAGTATTTTATCGGCTGAGTAGGACTATTAAAACAGAAACTTTATTTTCAAGCGACGCCGACGCCAAACACGTCCTGACATGCCTAAACCCGACACGCGTACACACCCTTCCCCTAGGCCAGAGGAGATGGTCATGATTCGGGTATGTCTTGTGTGCTGCTGTTTACGCCCCATGCAGGTTCAAGCGTGTCTTCCCGACTGTCGTTAATGCACCTGGTCTTTGAATCTACTCACTCAGTCCCGTCAAATCCTCAATTCTAATGCGTTGCTTCTCAACCTATTGGCACTTTTCCACAAAAGTGTAGGGAAGAAACAACCGAAAACCCAATCTAATAATTAATAATAATAATAATAAGCCAACTGCTTTCGGTCATGTTTAGGACTTACCCACCCTATTTATATTGTGTATATGTGTAGTAGCTTTATTCTGTCTCAATAATCCCAATTGCAAGTGGGATACGGTTAGGCGTGTGGGCAAATAATTTTCCATCTAGTATTTAGCCTGGAAAGCATCCGTCCTAAACGGGAATATGGTCTGCGTAGCCCTTATTCCAGGGAGCTATAGCCCGTCACTCGATTAGTCGGTCAGACGCAAAAGCGCGAGGATTGTTTGCCAAGGTCTCCTGAACGACCTATTGCGCTCCCGTTAGAATCTGCAGGGGAATGTAACCCAATCAAAGCAGTGGAGTGCCCAGTGGAAAGGGGGAATTTATAGTAGGGCAGCTAACGGGCGGAAGAATTCCAACGCCTAAAAGCGGTTAGAGACGGCCAAGACTTAACTTGTAGCAGAGAGTTGGAAATCGAAAGGCTGGGATGAAGAAAACTGCCAGGACCCGACTAAGCGTGAAACGACGGTCAAACTGTCCAGTAGTGGTGGTAGTGAAAGTAATAGTGATAGTAGTGGTGGCAGTGGTAGTAGTGCAATTAGTGGGGTGTAGGGGTGTCCAGCGGTGGGTTCACGCGACGGATCTAGGTCACTCACTTGGTTGCAGGTGTAGACTTATCCTAGCGTCCATTTTCTGGCAGCCAACTCTCACATGTGGCTCCTCGAAGATAGGCTCTACCTAGCGGCCACACCCCGGTAACCGCGTTGACTGGCGAGCTAAACCAGATGAGGGTATCCGTGTGCGCGTCCGCGCGCACAGTAATGGCGACTCCGCTGACCCGATGCATCTACGCATCGGCATCGTCCAGACGAAGCTCCGTCTAGTACACCGTAGGAGACCACAAGCTTATGGTGATGTCATAGGCAGCTCCAGGATAAGTCGGGTCATTCTCCCACTGATCAAAGACGTGGCCCACAGTGGAGTTCGGCTGCCGCCTCGTACATCTGAACAGCTCTAGTTAGGGACAGCACTGCCTACCTCCGCGAAGGGGAAGGGGCCAGAGAAGAGGCCCTAAACAAATGCTTGGGGACCACGTCGTCTGCAGGCTGACCGTGGTCGCAGACATTAAACTCACGGTCGAAACAACCATAATCGAAACAGCACTCTCTCTCTCTCTTCCTCCTCCCCGCTGCCCCGATAGCCAGAGTGGTAGGATGAGCCCGCTCACTCTAACAGCTTGGAATGTTCGTTCCCCTTTAGGCAATCCCAGGAGCAACCGACCAAAATGAAGGGCGGCGCTAGTGGTTCGGAAACTTGCGCGCTACAAGGTGGATATCGACCCACTCAGCGAGACCCGGTTCTGCGAACAAGGCCAACTGGAGGTGGGTGTCCGCTACGCCTTCTTCTAAAGCGGTCACCCTAAGGCAGAGCGACGGGACGTGGGTGCCACCTTTGTCATCCGGAACGGCATCGTGGGACGACTGCCCTGTCTGCCGCAGGGTATCAACGATCGCCTGATGAGCCTCCGCCTGCCTCTACGGGGAGGCAAATTTACCACCATCATCAGCGTCTAAGCTCCGCCGATGACCAGCCCTGACGCCGAAAGGGACAAATTCTACGAGAACCTGCATGTTCTCCTGACGGCAGTGTCGAAGGCGGGTAAGTTAATTGTCCCTGGTGACTTCAACGTCCGCGTCGGCACAGACCATGCTGCCAGGAGAGGAGTGCTTGGTCCCCATGGTCTCAACGGCTCCAATGACAAAGGCCTACTCCTTCTACGAACCTGTGCAGGACACCGTCTCAAAATGACCAACACCTTCTTCCGCCTGCCGATGCGAGAGGAGGCCATCTGGATGCATCGTCGGTCACGTCAGTGGCACCTGCTGGACTAAGTCCTCGTCCGGAGGCGAGATCAGCGGAACGTGCTGGTGACGAAGGGGATACCGTGTGACGACGGGTGGACCGACCATCGCCTCGTCATCGCGCGGATGCGGATTCGCCTACAGCATCGCAGGAGACCTCAAGGTAAGCGACTCCCGGGTAAGCTGAATAATGCCCCGCTGTCTCTGCCTGATCAACATCTCCATTTCAGCAACGAACTGGCCCAACGGCTAGACAACTTACAAGTCACTGATGTCGCCATTGCCGTCGCTGCCGCTGACGAGAACGCCTTCGTGGAGATCCGATAGTCTCAACTGCGGGATGCAGTCCAGGCGACAGTCCTGGTTGTCCTTGCTCGCACAGGTCGTCAGCGCCAGGACTGGTTTGATGACAACGATGTCGCCACCAACAACCTGCTCGCCGTGAAGAACCGCCTGCACCAAGCCTACGTCCACTGCTCCACTGGCGACAACAAAGCTGATTTCTACCGTATTCGCCGCCTTGTGCAACAGCGGTTCCGTGAGATGCAGGGCACGTGGACGGCTCGCAAGGAGAAGGACATTCAAGCGTACGCGGACCGCAACGAAAGGAAGAACATCTTCGCAATAAAAACTTTCTACGGTTCGACAACCAAAAGTACTACATCCCTTCTCAGCGCCGACGGCAGTACCCTACTTACCATGAAGGTACAAATTCTACAGCAATGGGCCGAGCACTTCTGGGGCGTCCTCAACCGTCCATCCACCATCTCCGATGTCGCTAGCGCCTGTCTGCCGCAAGTGGAGAACAACGCTTACCTCGACCTCCCGTCAACCCTCCACGATACCATCAGGGCCGTGCAGCAGCACTCCAGCGGGAAAGCACCCAGATCGGATGCGACCCCTGCTGAGATCTACAACCACGGGGGCTCCCGACTTATGGATCATCTGACAGCGCTCTTACAGGAGATGTGGCGTCAAGGAGAAGTCTCGCAGGATTTCAAGGATGCTGCACTCGTGCATCTATACAAACAGAAAGGAAACCGTCAAATTTGCAACGACCATTGAGGCCTCTCCGTGCTCAACATCGCCGGGAAAATTTTCCCTCGCATCCTTCTCAACCGCCTGAATAATTTTCTGGAACAGGGTTTTCTGCTGGAAAGCCAGTGCGGCTTCCGCCGTCATCGTGGGACCACGGACATGAGCTTCGCCGTCTGCCAACTGAAGGAGGAGTGTCGGGAGATGTGGACCCACCTGTACTCTACATTCGTGGATCTGACGAAAGCCTACGACACGGTGAATCGTTACGGACTGTGGAAAATCGTGTACAAATTCGGCTGTCCCAAACGTTTTACTCAGATGGTGCGTCAGCTCCACGATGGCATGATGGCGCGCGTCTAGGACAATAGAGCTGTCTCAGAGGCATTCGCAGTGACCAACGGAGTGAGGCAGTAATGCGTCCTGGCGCTCACCCTCTCCAGTCTTATGTTCTCTGTCATGTTGATGGACGCCACAGGTGGATGCACTCCCAGTCGCGTGTATCCACAACCACAGTCCACGAACTCCCCTTCGCCGACGACTGCACCCACAACACCACCTCCGAAGTGAACATGCAAAGGAGCATGGACCTCTTCTCCGCCGCCTGCGGAAACTTCGACCTGATCATCAACACGGAGAAAACGGTTGTCATGAACCAACTGCAACCCAACACAGCCCACAACGCGCCGCATTTCACCGCAAACGGAGCCCAACTGCAAGTGGTGGACAACTTCACGTATCTGGGCAGCAGTTTCTCCCGCAGCACCAAAATCGGCGACAAAGTGGCCCGCCGGATTTCCAAGCCCAGTCAAGCCTTCGGTTGCCTTAAAAACACAGTATGGAATCGTCACGATCTCCAGCTCAGTACGAAGCTTAAGATGTACAAGGCAGTCATCCTGCCAACGTTGTAGTATGGAGCGGAGACCTGGACGGTCTACAATAAGCAGGGGCGGAGGCTCAATCACTCCCACCTCAGCTGTCTTCGACGGATACTGAATCTGAGATGGCAGGGCCGAGTCCCCGACACCGACGTACTGGAACGGAAGGGAATTCTCAGCATCTACGCCATGCTGAGACAACTGCAACTGCGTCGAAGCGGCCATCTCGTGCGGATGGACAACGAGCGGCCACCCCAACGACTCTGTTATGGAGATGTCGCCACGGAACTCCGCCGCCAAGGAGGCCAAATCCGTTGATACAAGGACACTCTGTAGACCTCGCTGAAGCGTCTGAAGGTCAACCCGGCCAACTGGGAAGACCTCGCTCGAGGACAGTGAAGACAGGTTGAGCGGTCTACGAGGCAAACCGCATCGCCGCCGCAAAAGCTACCTCGCAACACAAACGCCCAACCGCCCCCTACGTGTTCACGGTGTCAGCGGACATTTCGGGCGCCGATTGGACTTGTTGCACACCTTCGGACCAACTGCAGCACTCGGACTGCACCAGCCGCCGTCTCTCCGTCCGCTTCCCTCTCGCCTCCTACGCCGTCAACTAACTCTTACCGCCCTCCCGAACCACAACTTCCATCATCATCATCCTCCTCCTCGTCCGCCGCTGTGGCGTCTACCACGCACATCAACATTACACACAACCCTGACACACCAACAAACACCAACACCCCCACCGTCGACGCCACTGGTGAGGGCGTGGTCTATACCTCCCCTCATTGCAACCGCATCTCCACTTCACACACCGGCTTGGTCGGTCACATGCGAATCCATCGCAGAGACTGACGAACTAGTGCCTGAGGCACCAACCTACAACCGCCGCATTCGCCTCCACTTTCCACACTGCCTTCGCACATTCATCCACCTCACGGGCGTATTCGGGCACATGCGTATCCACGAGATTGAAATTGATCACAATCTGGACACATTTAGCACATCCAGCACACATACCAGGCCTAGCCCCGCACTCACTCCGCTGCCCTACACGCCCACCGCCACCAGCTTCATCACACCCAGTGCATCCTTCACGCCCAGCACACTCAGCCCTACTCACACCACGTCGCCCAGCGCGCCCACCACCACCATCACCATGGCTGATACTGACACCGCCTCCTCATGTCCACACTGCCCCCACACATTCATCTCGCGCAGCGGCCTGGCCGGTCACTTGTGAATCCATCACACAGAGACTGGCGAACCGATGCCCGTAGCACCAACCTACACTCGCCGCATCCGCCTTAACTGTCCACATTGCAATCACACATTCATTATTCGCATGGGCCTCTTCGGCCACATGCGCGACCACGAAAACCGGCGGAAGACAACCGCCGGCTGCGCCACACCACCACGTCCTCCCTCACCAGCATCTCATCGTACATTAGCACTTACAACCAGCACCCAAATGCCACCATGTGCGTCTTGACTCCGTCTCTATGCGGTTCCCCAGCTGCATGTGTGATTCGAGGCTGAGGCTATCACGGCGCGTCAAACGTTGTGGCTTGGAAGGCTGCTGATCGACGCCCCAAATCAGTTTACACAGTCTGTCCAGTTGTGTGCGTTTGTGTGGAGTGGCGGACTGGTGGCTGAAACGGTTCCTTCTTAACATGACCTACGTCAATCTCACGCATGTGAGATGTGCGCCGCTTAATCCCGTTGTGTGAAATCCTGGCACTTGTGTTTGGGGCGGGGGGGTCACGTCGTGCATGTGGCGCGCGCAGACAAGATCACTAGATATGTTAGCCACCGCGCCCATCCTCCGCATCGGTCAACTGACCGGCTCGGACAGTGGCTGGGGGCTGGGAATGGAAAGAGAGAGTGAACAATGAACAATCTGACGCGCTTAAAGCCATCACGGTGCGCTAAAGGCCATGGCTTAGAAGGTTGCCAACTGACGGGATAGCTTGGACATCGCAGCCGGCCCATTGTTGTGTGCTTGTGTGGAGAGGCCGGCTGGTGGTCTAAGAGTCAGGCTGCGATGGTTCCTCCTTAATGTGGCCTTTATGGCACTCCCAACTCATGGAATCCGAGCCGGGTGTGGCAGCACGTCCAGGTGCTGCTCCGGCCGCGCCAGCCACCTGCGTTCTCCCCGCCCTCGGTCTTCTCGACTCTATCTTGACACCGGGCCCAGGTAGAGAAGAGACTGCGGCAGATTCTGAGCAAGTCTACTATCACTTTAAACTAATCCACGCGTAAGTCACTGTCCCTGCTCCGCCTTGCTGTGAAGCGCACGCTGGACATCATCAGAGACGACGGCCAAACTGTCGGTAGTAGTAGTAGTAGTAGCAGTAGTAGTAGTAGTAGTGGTAGTAGTAGTAGTAGTGGCAGTAGTAGTAGTAGTGGTAGTAGTAGTAGTAGTAGTAGTAGTGGTAGTAGTAGTAGTAGTAGTAGTAGTAGTAGTAGTAGTAGTAGTAGTAGTAGTAGTAGTAGTAGTAGTAGTAGTAGTAGTAGTAGTAGTAGTAGTAGTAGTAGTAGTAGTAGTAGTAGTAGTAGTAGTAGTAGTAGTAGTAGTAGTAGTAGTAGTAGTAGTAGTAGTAGTAGTAGTAGTAGTAGTAGTAGTAGTAGTAGTAGTTCCAGCAGTATTTATGCCTTATTGCCGATACTGGCTGTGACTAAGAGCTAGCTGTAGTTCTGTCAGCTTTTCGACTATAATACCCCACAATTATTGCTCTCTGAAACAGCGGGATCTTGTCCCTTCCTAGTCTATAAAGATTCGCGTGGTCCGATTTTGTAGCGGGTCCTCTGACGCTGCTCTTAACAGAACCAATAATTATTAGCCTTCCTAGATCCCACAGGAATCCTTCGATTCGGTCGTACAGGTTGCCTCTTGGTCCACCAATGAGCAGTTAGTCCCCACGGTTTCCTACTGCATGCAGCCGCAAGCGATGATACCCAACTTTTTATTTCCAATTCACTTTGGTCGTGGATGATACCCAGGAGTGCCTTATACAATCTGCGTTTGGAAAACGGGCTAGCTTGTACTTGTACTTGATACGGCTGCGATCATGCCTGATCTATCCAGCCTCGATGATGTCCCGAACTGTACCTCTCCACGCGTGATGATCCGCGGCAGCAGATCTGGACAGCTCAACCCATTCCTTTCGCCAACGACGGAGACCGAATACCGAAGGTCCAAGAACCACCTCCATGTCTTACGGGCTAGCTTGCGTGAAATTTGACAACGCTATTGTTTTTCTAAATTAGTGTCCGGCAAAGTGTGCGCTGTGAGGTCTTAATTGCGCTGGAAAGAATCCAGACGACACATACGCCAATGTAAGCCGCTGATGCCGTGCGTGGGCGAGTACCATCGTCTGTTTTGTGTAACTGCGGCCGCCTAGGCCAGCCGTTCTCCCAGGGGCAGCACCGTCGCTTGAGAAGAATGAACTGTAATTAGCGCGACGCAATGGAAAGTTACTTGGCCAAGTGTGGTGACACAAAATTGTTACGTTAACTGCATCAAGGACTAAAAAATTATCCCGGTACTGCTCTACACGGCCAAGAGGGGAGCATGTGTACGAAGTCCGACGAGTCTTTTCAAGATTAGCGAATCTCCAAAGCGCAAACAGATTGTGGGGTTGAGTATGTTCACCCGAGTTCGACGGCTGCTAATCAATTCGAGGAATTCATCCACCGTCTCGTGTGTACCCTTTAATAAACAAAAACAAACGAAATAACTAGGGCGAGACTGGTGCAGATTTTGATAGCCTCTTTCTTCCCTGGGAACAACAAAATACCAGTTCGGACGGGTTATCGAGTTTAAACACATGCAATGCGTCAACAGTGTAGGTCCCAATTTTCGCCCCCTGGGACGGAAGTAGTCCCGATTAACAGACCCAGACTGCGCACGACGACATCGAAGTACTCAGCAAGCGACCTTTAGACCAACCAGACGACTGTGCTTCACAGTTTCTATTATTTAGGTCACGTCCCGCACATGTATTAAGGCCGATTGTGACGAAGGAGTCTGCTTTGCAAATATTAGTCCGGCAGGGATGAGTATGCAACGTCAGGAAGGAGCACGAACCATTGAACTGAGCCGCTGGAATAAGACGATCTGTCGGCCCTTGGAAGTATAGAGGCTCTGGTATTTCGACATAGAAAGCTGACGGACATGGTATCTGATCCCAGTCAGCAACACTCCAATGTCGCCCCGGATGCCGGTCTTCTTCACCAGTTCTCGTCTTTGGCGTCTACCACTTATTCTTCAATCCTAGATTTCATTATCGTTGTGTGATCAACGACGGAATAATCTCGGCCACAAGGTATAACAGGCGAGCATACAATCGAGGGACGACGTACAAACAACACATAGACCACCTAAACCGGCTTGCTGGTAAAATACTTCTGAACTACGTTATGGGCTCTGTCGAAAACCACTACTCCATATCAGCGTAAATATCCAGACACCCGGACAAGGTTCGATGTTAAGGCCGGTCGGGTTAGAAGAATTACCGTAAGGCGCCACTCTCATGACAGATATGGCATTTCGGGAACCAAGGCCTATATCGCACCATAACGCCCCTGGGCGCTGGCTAGTGGTGTTAACGGGGTCAGTACGATTCGCTCTGCCATTCACCGTAAGCATAATTAAAATGCATCCTTCCCATATAAACGTACTGGCCCGATGAGAATTATCGAAGGCACGAGTATGCTCACCAAATGTTCTTCTAAAATACATCAGTTAGGCCAGTCGGCCAATGAATATACGAAGCAGGGCGGCTGATAACCGCAACACGCCCGGTTTGGCAATTGCCAAGCAACTAAGGCAGACCACGTCCTAGCCTATCTAGAATCGGAATTAATGTTGTTCTATTATATCGTGTATTATTTGTCAAACGCCGGTCATGCAGATGGTGTACCTTGCCAGGGCACAAAGGGTGTTAATAACAGCCGGGGACGCAACCAGTCAAGTGTGCTCTTATTATCCACCGACTTACACGGCTCAGTCAGAAGCTGCGCCAACCTGGAGAGTAAAGTTTGAGACAGATCGACCGGATCTAGCCTGCGCTTGTGGCCAATCAGAGACAGCCAAATGATAACAGATGAGTCTTTGACACCACAGTCTGTGGTTTGTGCGCGCGGAATGCCAGCTGCCTTAACTTCAAGCAGAAGCAGGCAGATGACTAGCGATCCTCCGAGATCAGGATGACTCGTAGCATGAAATTGGCTTAATTACTCGTCGGTAAAATAACAAAAAGCATCTGGCGACCCGTCCTGGTCTCAGCGCAAATCACATCTGGCACCAATTCGAATAACGATCGGGGGGATGTCTGGAAAAATTCCCGACTTGCGCTAGCTCTAGTTGTCAAACAGATCGAAGTGCCCATCGAGAGATGGAACAGTCAAGGCCAACGAAATTTTATAAAGGAAAAATAAACGGCAAATGGGAATAAATTAGGAGCACTGTTTAACAAAGCCTTTCCCGAAATTTTTCGTTCAATAGACCAGGCATTATGCCCAGTTGGCATTAGATAGAGCGTTAGATTAAATCATCGCATGTCAGCAAGGCCTAGATCTAAAAGATGATGGGGGGATGATTATGACGACTGCGTCTACAATTGGGTGCTGACTGCCTTCGACCTTCGCAACACGGCGGGTGCAATGTGATTTTACGGCCCTGTTTTGCACAAGGCAAGAATACGTTAAAAGCCTTTTGAAGCGTACACTGGCCAGACTCGTGCACCTGGGCGCGATGAGCGAGATAAATAAACCAAACGCCAATGAACCAAGTTTAAAGAACCTGTTATTCAAATGCATGCAATTATACAATCACGGTGGCTATGGAGGAAGTAATTTCATACAAAAGTGAGAAAACCTATCTGAGGTTAACTGAGAACAGCCACAGGCATGACCGACTCGAGACGCCAAATTAGTTCTACAAAAGCAGACTGCGGCAAGTAACAAGATATCTGCTGAAGGTAAGAAAATATACATTACATATGTACAGTGGCACGTTGAGCAGTCAGTGTTACTATAAGAGGAATGGTATTGAAAGAGTACGCCTAGTACGACCAGTTAAACGGAAGGAAGCACATGATTAGTTTGTGGAGTAACCCAGACGGTAGTATCTACATGAAAGGCAATCGCAGAAAATTGAAATGGGAAGCACGCACACAGTTGGCGCAGGTGAGATCAACACTGTATCCAACGGTGGCTGTGGCGCAGACATTTCCATAATCGCTGGTACAGATTACGAATTGCTTAGCTTGATTGGGGTTGAATGGAGACATATGTACATTTCTCTTAAAAAGGTATTTACAGAACCATTGTTGGTCAGTCTCGTTCAGCTATACAGATTAGAAGGGTGCATACTTGCATAAAGTCCACCCAAAGGTTGAGTGCCCCAAAATAATGCGACATCCAGGTGAGATCATGACAGCAATCTGAAGCAGCACCAGGTAGAGTAGTAAATAAGCGATAAGTGAGGGAAGGAAGTCAATTCATCCATTTTTTGCAGCCGATTGCACCACACAGGCATGGGAGTTTGTTGGTTTTGTCCTCCAAGTCAAACTGGTAATCGTAAGTCAGCTCTTCACCTTTGTCTATTTTCCGTTTCGTGACGATAACGATATGGCCTTCGTCATTAAAGTTGACATACTCCGTGAAGCAGTTTGGTTGGCAGGAGTGATTGATGTAGCGAGCAGGACCCCCGCACATTGTGGCATCAATTACTGTATTATCCTCGAGACGAAACATGTATATACCGCGGTTTCGAGCCTCGTACTCTTTTTCTCTCTTATTGGCAAGTTCTAATCGGATGAGTTCGCCTATGTATTCGATAACAATCGTGTTTTGCTCAAGATCTCGAGCGGCAAAGAGACCGAAACCCTGAATGCGTGAACGTCCAAAGACGACATTACTCTGGAAATCCATTTTTAGCCGACGGTATTGTTGTGATTTACTACATTGGGCATTTTTGGGGACTATGTCACTCAAAGACCCCTTGGGCCAGAGTGTAGGATCCGAAGATACCAATGAAGGGAAACGACGAGCACTAGTGGACAAGGCACAAGACGGCAATTGGGGTCCTGACGCCGAGTGCTGCTTTTCCTGGGGACCGACAAAAGCACGTTTTCGTCTAAGATAGGTTCTCAAGTTTGGCTCCGAACGCGCACAGCCAGAAGGATTTATAGCCAGGGGCATCTCCGATATTAATTGCAAACGTCCAAAATGGAAAGCGTAATCCACAAGAGTGTCCACACCAGGCAGGGACTCGATGGCTCGAACAATGTGTGGTTCCGACAGACCGAAAAGATCCTCTCCATGTAGATGCTCTGGGAAGAGTTGGACGAGATTGTTTTGACGTCGGAGTTGGTGGACCTCGGAGAGGATCTTCCTCCAAACGCCGTCGCAGCTTTCGCTTTTCAAGACAATGTCCGGAAGGCCGGCATCGATCGCAGTTACCTGGAACAGAGGTCGATTATCCAGCTCGACAATTTCACAACGATAGAGTGACCGCTGGCCAGGACATCGCATTGACCAGTGAATTCTGGTAGTGGAAAAATGAACTGGATAAATAAACCTCCGAGTATGGAAGTTGCCACTCTCGATCTGGTGAGGGAGAAGTTGGCCGATCGAATGGAGGGTGAGCGCCCCTATGCGAACTCGATGATCTTGAGTTTCATCGTGTATTACATCAGCCACCTGAGAATTCTCGTCACGAGTGAGGTAAACCTTTCGATTCACAACCAGAGAAGTTAGCTGCATTGGATGTGGCTCTTTTGGCTGATGCGTTGGGCAATACATTCCGCGATCTGTAAAGAACATGCAGCCGATGTCTATGGCACAAGGAACATGGTATACGAAAGAGCACCGCGGATTGTAACAAGGCAGACCAGCACCCCGTTTACCACAATGCGTACAGGGAGTTTCCAAAGCCTTTTTTATGCATTCGTCGACATTGTGCAAAGAACCACTTACACTTTCGTAGATCTCGTAACACCACAACGCACAGTTGAGGTGGACCCATCTATCCATATCCATGCAGAGAAGGCGTCCACAATTGTGTTCGGGAGCGTCACCTATCTGGCCACATAAAATGCACACGCGACGTTCATCAGCAATCGGGTGTCTGAGCACACAGCTGCCTTTTGGAGTTGTTCTCGGTTCGTCTTCAGCAGACTTCCGCCACTGAGTCGAATCTGCTCTGAATGTACGCCAACGCACGTCTCTCCAGCGCTTTTGCTTGGGCGAGGGTCTTCGTTTGCCTTGCAGGCCGCTTGCGGGTAAGCCCCGTCGAGACAGTAAATGTGCTTTGTAGGCCTTGGAAGAAAGACTTTGTAGGAGAACAGGAGTTACCCACGGAAGGCTCCCAAACACCAAATGATAACGGGTATCTGAGAGATTCATTGTTGAAGACGGCACATGACTGTGTGACAGTTCTGGGGCATCGGCGAAGGGTGTGCATGAGCGTTGTTGCTGCTCAAGGGGGAAAGAAAACTCGTCTTCGCAGCGGAAGTACGTCGCCAGGAATGCGGAGAATTTCTGTAGACATGATCCGCCGCAGAACACGTAATCATCCGAAAGGTGATAACCATTGTCCACATTGAGGACAACATTACTCACATTGGCTATTTCGTCCAGCTTTCTCTTGATGCCCGAGTTACAGGGAACAAGGACGTTGCAATTTCTGCAGTGTTCTTCCCGTCCTCGTTTTGATGCGATTAGAGAGGCGACACTCACGGGCTCCTCGATATGTTTGACTGAATGCTGCACAGATGATACATCGCCTTCGTCGACAGACAATTTCGACTTCGGGATCTCCAGAGCAGGCGAAGATCGAGGATGGGGGAACAAGTCATCGGCTGCAGCGGCCAGGAGGTTACTCGACTGAAGGGATGTCAACGACTCGTCAACAAACTGCCCGTGTGCAACTGGTAGAGAGTCTACACGGATCGATAACTGAGCAAAATGCTTGCGAAGTTTGTGTTCTAAATCCCTCATAACGCCTTCGCACTGCGACCTGCTCTGAGGAAAACTGATCTGTCCACCAGAGCCGGTGATTTCGCATGTCACGGAATCTCTGTCTATATTCAGTAGATTTGTAATAAGCTCGACGATTTTCGGGATATTCCCAGTCATGGCCGGCTTGATTGTGAAAGTCACGTGCAATTTACTCTCGCCCACAGTTTCAGCTTCAGAACCACAGGGGGATTTTACTTTCGGCCTGTGACCACCCACTATTTCACCAGTTTCTGAATCAACCAAGGGGCTTTCGAAACCAGTCTCACTTGTCGAATTTCCACTGTCCTTTGAAGGCCGAACTTCGTCAGGATAGAGGACAGCAGGCTGTGGGGAGGTCTTACAGGTGTCCGAGGCGTAGTATATCCTTTGAGCGGCCGAACTAAGGAGAGTGGTATTCGGCATATGATACAGCGCAAGTGGTGGTGTGCACCTGTCTGTTGGGGGGTCGCTCGGGAGGCAAGATGAGTGGGAAAGCATGTGTAAGACTGGTGGAGAACTAGGTCGGACGGATTTCGAGTCCCGTTCGCAAGGGGTAGGGGAGGTGTGTCGTAGGCCTGAGAAAAAGGTATTCAGTTGGTTGTCAAATGAAACTTGTTGAGGGGATGGGCAAACACGATAGGAATCAGTAAGGGGTTTTCTTATCTGTCTCGGCTGACGGATAGGCTTAGTTTGTAACAGTGACAGGCGCTGAAACAAGTAGTGATCACCAAGATCAGAGAATGCGCTGTCTTGTACACAAGGTGGCTTTACAACACCAAAGGCCAAATGGTTGCGCTTGTACTTTAGGCCACATTGCCTGATCCAGCAATCCTCTTCTAGCGGCGACAACAGGGGAAGAGATTGCGCTGCCATTGGCGGCAACGCGGAGGTGAATGGCTGCATTGCGGGGTCGGACAAGAAGATCTTCGGGTCAAATGACGTGAGTTTAATAATAGCTTCTTGAACAGCTGGAGACTGTTTTGGAGGCGTTTGGGTGTGTGGGAGCTCCAAGGAGGAACCAGAGGTGACTTTGTATGAGGTAGATGAAATCGGCACAGCCATCTTTGCAACAGAAGTCTGCGCTGGGACATTTGCAGATTTCTTCCTCTTGGACACGGCAGCGTTCGCCCTTCTCCTGGAACCAGTGGGGGACTTGATACCTGGATTTCCACAGTGCTGCAAGTCAACAGATATGATCGGAGAGACACGAGACACTGACTTCTTTTTGGCCGCAACAATCTGCAGCATACCATTAGTTTCGGGGAGACAGGGTGTTTCAGAGACCGAAGGTTGACACTGTTTGAGGGGCAGGGATTCATTGGGAGCTGAGTCTTTCACACAAAAAGAATCCGGCAAATGTGAGCTGGAATGAAGGGCGGGGGGCATAGGGAAGGCGGCGTGGGTGGATTCACAAAACTGCTTCTGGGGAGTACACCCACTCAGACCAGCCTGACAATTCGGTGAGCGCTTCAAAGCATCCGTTGGGACCGACAGGGACGCGGACAGGAACTTGGTATCAGGACTAGAAGTACGAAGTCTCGAAAAAATCGGCCTCTGTTCAGCTGAGCGGGGTGAAGTCGAATTCAGTGGTCTCGCCGATCCGCCGAAGTAACTGCTAGTAGTTAGCGTTACGGGATGTAAGATCGGCATTGGCTTAAACGCATCATGGGTATTTGATGTTATTATCATGGTAAAATTCGACTGGGGGCGCAAGATTGTAGTGTTGGTACCGTTTGAGGTCGCCGGAGAACGGAAATGGTCGCTTGGTACCTCGGCGCTCCACTTGTTCTGACCATCAGCGTTAACGTATGAAGACGGCTGTTTTGTGAGCTGTACATTTCCCTGGGTCTGGTCGGTCGCACGCTTCGGGAAAGGAATCGAGGAAACGAAAAGAGGTGTCGACGAGGAATTCGAGATTGAAAACGCCGGAGATGACATTTGCGGGTGCTTCGGGGAGCCGACTGGCGAAAAGGGGGGAGACAGATTCAAGCTGGAATTTGGAGTGCTCCCAGGATTGTGCGGTGATGGCGTGGGGGCACATTCGCGAGTACGACATGGCAGGACAAAAACGTCCTCGCATGGTTCATCACTCCGAGCTAGCGCAAGAACATGCTCGATCGTACTGTCTAGCTTCTGAAGATTCATCTTCATCGGTTCGACTTGCTGTCCAACTAAAGACGGTTCCGGTGGACACCTTCCAGCAGTCATCCGCATTGAGTCGGAAGTAGGCACCGCGTCGATAGCATGCACACCAGGAAAAGTTATGCCAGTGTTTTCGACAGGGGAAGGGGGAAGGTGTGACGAGGTTGGATGGTGAAATGGGCTGGGCGGAGCGTCACACAGGGGCGATTTGCTCAAACACATACGCTTTGCCGGCGTCAAAGCAGGATTCGGTGGACAAGAGGTCACACAAGCAACGTGACAGTTGCCATCACTTTTGGCAGGACTGCCGTTAGACAAACTATCAGCAGTCTTATCAGCGCAAGTCGCTGGAGAAATGCTAAGTTTCCTTTTGCAAGTGCCCGATGGCTGCCAGTTACCGCGAGTAATAAAGCTGTCCGTCATCGAACAGAATGCTTGGGGGAGTTGCTTTGGGTTTTGCATGAGGCCTTGGTGTCGACCGCCAAACAAAGCAACTGCTGGCGAATTGGAAACTCCAGAAACAGTCGACATATACATTTGAGCCTCATTTGGATTCGATTCCATTAGAAGAGGCCAATTGCTTCAAGTGACACAACTTGGCATATTGAATAACCTAAGAAAAGTTTGAACGAATTAAGTCGACGAGATAGGCACGAAACTAGCAGAAGGGAGTTGTGGGAGAAAACGAGAGGACGTTAAACTCGAAATGAATAAACTAGAAGAGTCAACATATAAACATTCAGCATGATATGTAGCATATCAAATCTTACGATCTAACAGACGAAAATGTCCAAAATAGACGCTAAACATCCACAAGACAAAACGTTCGCGTTCAAAAAAGGAAATCAAAAATAGGTAGTAAGAGAAACAAATGGCGTCAGTAAGTTCGAATCAGTTTTTATCGGAGGACCGGGGTACTGGGTGGGGCATGAAGTATTCGTACCCCTTTGTTTGTCCAACTACCTCTGAGAATAACCATGAACCAAGATGAATATATGAGGGGTTAAACCTGAGGTTCTTAATCTCTGAAATATTTTTTAGACGTCAAAGTGTGATGACAGGGGAAATGAATATTCAGCATTCTACATCTGGTGATCCGACAATTTCGAAGTTCCTCATACGAATGTTAACATGCTTTTTTAAGTCAATTCGGGAATAAGAGCGTGCACAGCTGAGAAGGGTAGCGGAAGAGTTATCAAACGCCAACTAAACCTTACACTACTCAGTAGCATCGAGATAAGGGCCAGAGCACAATGGTGGAAGTAGCAGTCTCAAAAATGGCAAGATGACGCTGAACTGGAAAATAAACAGATAGTGGAAAAATGTTCGCTTATCCTTCCAACATATACCCTTGACCCATAAGCTTAGACAAACTTACATAGACGGAAACATAGTCCAATTTGAGGAATCGTGCGCCTTTTATCCTTAGCGTAATGGATCAGTAATTCTACGCATCCTTACAGTACAGTTAACGTGGATATGCTCCTTACGTAGGTAACCCCGTAGAGAAAATCGTAAGAGTACATCACTTCCCGCCATCTCCATTAAAAGGATCTGGATATACTGTTTAAATCCCGACCGTTAATCCTGTCGTATGACTGGAGTGAATAGTGCGAAATCGCGGGATAGCGGCTGGGGTTTCACTAGGGGATTCAGTTTTCCCCAGTCCTTCAGAAACAAATAAGTGGGGGAAAATTTACTCGTGCGATTATCTTTATAGTGTGACCTACGCAAGGGGCGTGTTCACGGCATCGGTACTGCAAAAACTTGCCCAGAATAAAACAAGAAGTATCCCTCGGACTTAACTATGGTCTCCTTCACCCCAATTTGGCCCAACTCCCAGGAGAGAACACGGGCTTGCGGGGGAGTCAAATGAATGGTACGCCCGCAAAGTCTCAGTATGAGTTAAGGTATGTGGATAACACGGGCCACTGGCAGTATATTTAGGTTAGAAGATATTATGTTGAATGTCCGTTCACAGGTATTTTTGGGATAAATACACATCACGTAAGGACAAACAGTGGAAGAACTCTTGGCGTAGAAAAGCGATACTGATTGAGTTTTGACCAGAAAAATAAGCATTAACGCTGAAATTGCTCAAGAGCGAAGAACTGCAACCTTTCGAATGACGGCGCCCCAGAGTAGGGACCAATGAAGACGAGTTTAGCGGGATATTGCACGTCAAACTACCTTTCATGGGATATGGGTTTACGGATCAGGTTGGAGTGGTAAACTACGCATCGCTGCTCACTCCAGAATCCATCGGATAGATGAGAGCCATTAGAGTTATGAGTGTTCCATGCGGCACGAAACTAGGCAGGCTGAATAAAATCCGCGTACTCCATCACTGTGAATTCAGTAGATTAAGCATCCGAAGTTTGTGCGGTGTTGTAGATTCAAAGAGCGCTATATAGTGCTTTAAAATGAGAGAAAATTCGGCGCGATTTTTTTAATAACGCAATTTATTGTTGACAGCAACTAGGTCTATTGTTAAAAGAATTATCCGCACATGACCGAGAAAAAACTAAAATCACTGGACAGTGTCCGTTGAATGACTGCGGTCAATGTACTTTAAAAGGCTAGTATGGATAAAAGTATAGCAATTCAGTGACTTAGACAGCAAAAATTAGCCCTTTTGCAATTATCAAAATTACAGAGAATCGAGGCAGGTGATTACGCAACGTTCTTACCTTGTCCAATTCCCTTATTCTAGGGAAAAAAATTCTTCTAAAAAAGATGTTTGATTAATTAATAATAATGGCTGTATTTAGTGAGTGTTCATAGGCATTGTCTCAGTCAGTTTAAGTCAGTTTATTAAGGGAATGAGGCTTTCGCCCTTGCGCTCCCTATTCATATCGATAAACAGAAATAAAGTCATCAATTACATCAGCAAATGCGAAAAGTTAAAAAGTTGGCGGTAAGTGTGAGCTAGGCGCAACAAAAGGATACAGTATGGATCGGGCTAACAGTGTAAAAACTCCTGAGGAAGCAAATATAGGTGGTAGGGTTTTTGGATAGTTTGGCGGCTTAGGAGAAAAACCTGCAGCCTGCGAAATCTGTCGTTTCAGAAAGAGGACAGTGAAGACTGTATCCATCTCGATCTCTTTCATGGAAATGGAACTGCACAAAACAGGCTGCATGAATGAACAGTTTTTCGCTGTTGGTTGAGACATTATTCATAATGTCGCCAGCTGAATTCAGCACAAGTTCCCATAAAATGAGACCGGACAGATGGATCAGAAACCTCGAAATCAATCATAACGGAAGACTGATCCGGTGGATACAGCGCCCGAAAATTGTGGAATTTATTCAGATTAAAGAAAATAGGTGATATTTCACATAAACAAAGAGTACTTTTGCAGAACTTTCATATTCCTAAGTTACGTATTCTAGACTGTAACCGTGATTACAGAGCAGAATTGCTGATATTTAACAGTGCGTACCAGAGGGAAAATAGGAAGATTCACGTTGACTGTTCCGTCAGGGTATTATAGATGGCTCAATGTGGTAATCGGGTTAAAAGTGCGACTTTTTAAAGACTTAAACAGTAAACAGATCCTCTTTTATGAAGGGCTATACCAGAAGAGTTAAGGGCATTTAAACCAACAACGTTCTTTGTGCGTCAAACTTCAGCGTCCAGTGCGAACCGCAGTAACTTAAAAATAGCCCAATACGTTACCGGATTAAATCTACACATTACCCTGATGGCTCCTGATTTTACATGTTCTACAATCACGCAGAATAAATCCAGTCATTGTACGTACTTTTTGGGCAGCCGACGCCCAATGCTCCAAAAGACTGACACTCACGTAGCAGGAAGTACCGATAACTACAAAACTCGTGGCAAGATTTCGTTTTGACCTTTAGCGCTCAAATGAGGCCAATTGTCGTCGTTAATACCCATCAGGGAGCATTAGTGCCATGAAAAGAGAAGGCAAAATATGTAACACGGCAGGGATGAAACCTGTGCACCGCTTATAAATGCTTAAACATTGCGTCAAGTCTGCATACGATGGTCGACAGTTGGAGCCCTTCGAAATAAAAGGTCTAGGAAGACAGAGTAGTATAGGTAACGTTTACTTCAACGAAAGTACGTGCAAGACCGTGACAGTCTGATCTCAATGTCGTTGGCGCGGCCGCTTGACCATGCCAATTTCTGTCCACTTGGCACGCCAAATAATCCCTGCTTACGCGAGCGTGACGTAGTCTTCAGATCAGCAACGCTGTGATTCTGATCACCGTCTCTGTTTCTATCGATTAACCGCAGCCAGACAATACTTCAGACGTGGTTAACCGTACGTCTTGTAGGAGCCAGATCTAATGTCGTCAGTTTTGAAATTCCGAATGACAAATTCAGTCGTTCTGAGTGCTTTTGAGTTAATCGCAGCAGAATGATAAGAAAAATGGATCCTCATGGAGCCTGAAATATATACGTCTTTGACAGCTTATGATGTATTTATATCGTATTTCAGTGCATTAGTTGGATAAGTCGGTGTATGAACGCCCCGATAATACTGAACATCAAATCGAGAGCCTGATTCAAATGTAGGAATGTTAGTGGCATTGTTCCAATAAGCAGGAGAGGTACCATTCTCAAAAAAGACTGAGAACAATGGTAGGGGGCGCTCACCGATCGTTCCTACGGAACTCACTCGTTCCGTTGTGCCTTAAGGGCTCTCTCTCGAGCCCAACCAGCAGCCGCACAGCGGCGCACGATATATAGGCAGAATGGTATATATCATGCACCGCTGTGCGGCTGCTGGTTGGGCTCGAGAGACAGCCCTTAAGGCACAACGGAACGAGTGAGTTCCGTATGAACGATCGGTGAGCGCCCCCCATCATTGTTTATTCCCGATCGAAAACCGACAGCGCAACGGGCTCGTGGCCCGGTGGGTGGAGGCGTGGACTTCTAAACCAACAGGTCGCGAGTTCGAGGCTCGGGTGTTCCACACTTCGGGCTTGGGTATGGCTGGCTGACGACGGCTAGTAAGCCAGAAATGGCCATTCCAGTCTCCCTTGTCTTTGTCGGTAATACCATTCTGCCTAGACTGAGAACAGTTTGCTTAGCAGAGGGGCACTTCTTCTAGCTGGTTAATAAAAGCGTTCGGGATGTTGTCAGTTCCAAACGAATGCGCATTACTAAGTCGGCTCATCTCTTTCTGAATACTTACAGGAGTAAAATTATTGTTGATGAGGAACGCACCAGATTACCGGGCAGTTGAAAAAATGTGGTCAGTTTCAAGAGCAGAAATGTTGGCAAAGGACGACTTAAACAATTCTGCCCTACCTGACTTCTCTTTTATGAAGCTATTGATGCAACTGATTAGAGGTAGAATGGCTTAGTGGGGCTTAGCAGACCCTCGGAGATGGGAGATTTCAGCAAAAGATCCGGGAGGATTTGCATCATTGACGGCTAATAACGA